TTCACACGATTCTTCGCCAACCACTTTCTAATACAATCCATTATCAATGCCGATGTGATAACTCAGTTATTATTCTCTGGTTAACGTTAGTCTTTGCTTGCTTTTTTATTTCTCTCTCTCTTTTGCGCCTGCTTATGTTTTTTGATCAACTTTTATTTTAATCCATTTATTGCTATAGCTCAGTTCCTGCGGGGGCACGCAGTAGCGTAGTTGGTTAAGGCACTATGCTACAAACCGGAAGGTCGCGGGTTTAAGTCCCGATGAGGTTACTGGATTTTTTTCAATTTACCTTATCCTTCCAGCTACACTATGGCCCTGGGGTCGACTCAGCCTCTAACAGAAATGAGTACCAGGAATATTCTTGGGGGTTATGGGCGGCCAGCGCGTAGGGCTGACAACCTTGCCGCCATCTATGTGCTGACTGTCTAGAAAATGTGGGAACCTCAACATCTCACAACCCTATGGATCTCCACGGCCTGTTACAGGGATAGCTTTACTTTTTGCTTAGGTCCTGCTATAGCTCGAGCGGTTAGTGGCCGGCAACTCTTCACGGATGACTGGTTCAGTTTCGGAGGAACTCATGTGGGATATGTTGCGGACACAGCGGCACTGTAGCAGGACTTTCTACTAATACTCCGCATTTCATGTGCCAATTATTATTCCATGATTTCATCCAACAGCCAAAGCCGGTACACCATTTGCTACTCAGTTAGGCCCAATCGATAGAGCCAGTTCTTATCTCCGGAGATAGAGACTAGCTTTATCGAATGGGCACAATTGAGGTTTTGCCCTAAGCCGGAGACAGAATCCAGTCTCCGAAACGTTGTTTTTAAATATAAACAGGGCGTTATTTTAGATACACGTAAAACGCGACGATGTATAATGTCCAGAATCATAATATTTGTACTAATGTACCATCATCACAAACTTTAAATCTTAAGTACTGTTACAGCCGTAACCCTATTGCTGAGATATTCGTCTAAAATACAACAAACATCCATTACAGTACGAACACAGTACAACAGTCGGCTTCGAGCCATATCAAGATATAACCACCTCCTTTGCTGCGTCATGTGATTTAATTCACTGGGCTATAAAATGTATTTTTTTTTTCATATTTTCGCCTTAAAATGTGCATTATTTTAGGAAAATGGTGATAAATCACACGCAGCGAAAAAGTTAATAGTTCACAATATATTTACTTACACGACTAAAAACTAAGTCTATATTTAGGTCGAAATGCTTGATATGTGAAGAAAGGGTATATGGTGATAATACAGAGGTCCTTAGCTTTGTTGATCGGTTCACGGCGACCGGTTCATCGCCGGCGGCGAGGCACATACGAATTTTGCCGATGAATAAGTATTCCTGATGGCTGATGTTTGGATTTAGGGTAAGTTATTAACTTTGTGGACCATTTGACGGCATTGTGTTTCATGTCGAGCACTGCGGCTCGTGCATGGGAATTTGTTTATGATTTGTCAGCAGTAGGCGCAAGTTATCAGCTCCATTAGCCGTTTCCCATTTACGATTCGTGGGCAGTATGTTCCGTCATGGTTTGATATACATTACAGCAACGTGTATTTGTTTATACGTGACACCTAGGTGAAATACGGATCTGCTAGAAATTGTCGGCGAAAATTTCAACCAAATTTTCGTGATGAAAGAGTTCCCAGCAGACAAACAATTCACAATTTTATGAACAAATCTGGATCAACGGGACTCTTAACTGACAAGAAACAAAAACATAAGCCTCGAGTAGTCACTGAGAAGTTATATGACATAGGGTCCAGACTTGAACATACACCTAGAAAATCACTGAAACGTCTAGCTCAAGAGGCTGGAGTGTCAAAGTTTTGTGCAAAAACAAAACAACTGCTGACGCTTAGACCCTATAAAACAACACTAATCCACGCCTTGCGGCCGCGCGATCCATCTAGTAGGATTCATTTTTGCAGCTGGTTTCTACAGTCTGTCATCGAAGGTAGAACTGATCGCAACAGACAGGAACAGCATTAAACACCTCCCGTGATTTGTGAACTGTAACTCCAGACTTGAACATATCATCAGGCAACAGACATGTTGATTCTTCGGTACAATTCGTATACGCCTCGCAGCCGACGGTGCACCCGTCGCCGTGAAGCGCTGAGCAGTGAACCAGTCAACAACGGTAAGACCGTCCCTGCACATGAATATGGGGTGTATGATTGCTATTCGTATGAAATGTCTGATGAATCTTGATTAAATATAATCTTCCGAAAAAAGCTGTTACAATAATAATTTAGTTTCAAAAAAATCTATGTACATGTCAGCACCGTAGCTCATTTATGAATATATTAACTCATTACTATGCGGGTTCAAACCCGGCGGAGGTCGTGGAATTTTTAAGGGCAGAAAAATTCAGGGAACAAGTCCTCCGGGAGGGACTTTAAGCCGTGGGTTCCGTGTCGTAGCTTTACGGCACGTAAAAGAACCTCATGTCTCCAAAGGAGGCCATTGAGCTAAATTAAGGACATTTCCCGCTCAACAGTAGTCTCTAACGCCTCTGGTAGATGTGGGAAGCATTGAGATACCTCTGAGCCAGTAGAGGCCGACCTCGCTGGCTGAGTAGGGACTGATGGTAAGCACCAATACCGGTAGGGTATAGAGGCTGCAGAATATTATAGGGGGACGCACAATAGATCAAACTGGTCGCGGTGCATGGAGAATCCCACCCCCTCCAATAACAATAACAACAACAACTCATTACTAACTTCTTTTTCAGAAGATCCAAAAAAATTAACTTCAAGATACGCTACTGTGTAGTGCTGTTGTTGCATTCATTATAGAATCTGTCAAACAACAGGAGCCAGTAACGAACACAATGGGCGAACAAGCAAGCGATCTTCGTGTGCATTCGGCTGTGGCCTCAATCCCGCCTACGACCTGACATTACTTAACTTCTCTTTTTAATCAGTATCTCTCCCCAATAACACCTTAGAAAGAAACCGAACGTTATGCTGACCAATTAATTGATGTGGATTAAAGGTATGTCTGAAATATCACTCCAGAATTTCAAACATTAGTTCTCGTACTCAAGACTTCGAATTTCCAAAGAGTAATACAACATATCCAAGCTACACTGTGCAAGATCTGACTCCACATTCTATGTCGGATATTAAACAAAAAAACAAATTCCATGGCTTTGGTCCGCAAGCGAATTGTACCGACCGCGCGACCGCCTCTTGTCGGCGAAGTTAGTGCCAACTTTGGCGGATAGAGGGTGTCGCGTGGTCAGCGCAACGAATCCGTACCGACGTTAATTTCGGTTTTCTAGACCGGAGCCTCTACTTTTCCATTCTAGTAGCTCCTCAATTATCCTCACGATGTTGAGTGGACCCCGTTCCAGACCCGATACTTCTCAGAAAATCTGGCAGCGCCGGGAGTCGAACCCGGACGTCTGGATCTGTAGCCAGGAACTCTGACCACTACACCACAGAGGTGATCTGTCGGAAATGTGCGTATTTGTGAGTAATTATTATCTTAATTGTAACTTTAACTTTGTAATTTGGAAGCATTTCCTTTATATGTGATATTAATATTCGTCATATATTCCAACTTGACTGGCTGGAAGTGTGGTACATTCTTGTTGTGTTACTTCCAAAAACCAGCTCCTCTACAATTTTTCCCCCCAACCAAATACAGTGCCTGAATTTAAGACACACAAAAACTTTAAGGTAATCATTTTCTAACAAGTTAGATGTATTTCTGATTGAAGGAACAAAGTTTCACTCTCTCATACTATTTATTTGAGTCTGACTTTCTTTAGGACTTGACCACTAGAAACAAAACTGTAGGAGACTACAACGTGCAGTTAACAGACGTGGTCGACAGAAGGAATTATAAAATAATTAGCAACATTAAATTCACACGCAACTATTTACTGTTTCGTGATGGCAAACTGGCGGGAAAACTAAATTACGTACTGAATGAACAACTCTGTATCAAGTTTCAAGTTCTCGCAGTGGTAACTGGGATGCAACGTCGTGTGGTCCGGTTAAGTCCACAGACGTTTCGGGGGGAAAAACGCAGTGCCTCGATCTTTAGGGTCAAACAGTAAGCCAAGTAAGAAACTGGCAGAAAGAGGGCTGGTTTCTTTCTTGGTTTATTCTTCGACACTGAACATGGAAGTTACACGCTCCTTCGAAACGTCGGTGAACTTGCCGGACTAGAAGGCGTTACATCCGAGAAAATTACAATACCCTACAATCAGTATTGAAAACGTTTTGTCTTTTTTCTTGTTTTGTTTTTCTTTGTCGAGATTGTTCAGTATGGAAGTTTAAAAATGTAATTAATTATACACATAACATCCCTTTCTAGTGAACTGAAAACAGCGAAGACATTGAGAAAACGCATTTTGTCATGAAATGTGTGCTTAAATTTCCTCTGAAACATTTATTCTTTACATTCTCCTCTCCGATAAATACTGGACAAGATACGAACATAAATCCCCTAACTTTCCACGGTAGGCTGCCGTTAAACTGCTCCGACCTCAATACAATGGCTTAGTACTTTATTTTTTAAACTTACAATATCAAATGTCATGAGAATTTGTCCAGCGTTTCTCTAGTTGTTCGATGGCGAGCCACAGACTTGGCTGGCTGACTGACTGACTGACTGACGGACGGACGGACTAAATTAAGTTAAAAAGCGCTCTGCCGGATTGCGAGTGGGCCTAAAAAACAGCAGTCGCAATCCCGACTGTGGGCCTATGAATAATTTACTCTTTAACGTCAATTTAATTAACTTAAAACTCCTGTATCTTTGGTAGTGGCAATGCGGGAGTCATGCTCAGAGCAACATGCACCTTTGGTTTCAACTTTACAGCTGTTACTTATTATTTGTATGCCTCCAGATGGTCATTCGTACGATAAAAATTTTCTCTCCGTATTCGTTTTTAGCCGAGTGTGACATGCTAAAGTGGTTTCAGTGATGTGGGCCATAATAAGTGTGTCATATACCTTTGATTTCCGCGATGTGTGAGTCATACTGAGAGCGACTTCGGATATATTCCAATTTCGCAGCCATGTTGTGAAAAGACTGGGTTCGGTACTCGGAATACCACTCAATGCTGCTGCTTGTGGACCCAGGGCGGCTTCCTCCCTCTAACTCGGTGGCGCCGACTTGCTGGAGTCCCTCCCTGGACGGCGTCCTCCTCAGACTTTCTTCAGACGGAAATCTCCCGGCCAGAGATGTTACTGATGAAGATTTCGACGCACTTGTATGGTAACCATTAGTACTAGGTTGACTGTGACTGACTGTATGATACGCAGAGTCGTCTTGAAGGATACGTTCCTCTGACGGTGTTCGGCTCACTGTGGCTTCTGATGGTGCAGCACCAGAAATGGGTGTGGTCGGACGCACAGTTGTGATTTCCCTAACAGATTTGTGAACCGTGATTCTTTCAAATTTGACAACCTTCGCACCTCCACCCAGAAGATCTCCTTCTTCGACAACTCGTTCAAATGTTTCTTCGAACGATTCGCTGTTGTTACTGCTACTGTCTTCTGTGGATGCGCGTCTGAGACGGGAGCCTCCATCCCCAGCACGCGAGGACCTCAGCTTCACGTGCTCCCTCGTAACAGGACTCTCAGCACGTCGGCGAAGTTGTTCTTCCTGCAAGCGATGCTCGATCTCAGACACATCAGCGAAGAGAGAACGGTCGTCGACGTTGCTTCTTCCCTTTTCCGCGACTGTTTCTGTTGACGGTGACTTCGCACCAGACCATACCTGTTCGTAGAAGCTGACTCGATCTTTGAGCCTCGTTGGACCCGGGCTGCTGGCTCTTCCCGTATCTTCAAGTAATGTAGTAGGACGAGTTTTCTTCTGTGGTGTTACTGATTTTCCTCCACCAGGATCCCCAACGCCTTTGCCACCATTTTCTTCTGGTGTCTCCATTGTTCTCCGCTATTCTCCAACGACACCAGTGATGTGTGTCTTGCCACCTGTCATTCTGACATAAGGCAGGCTTAACCCACCTTGCCTAAGGCTAAATGTGTTACACCAGAGTTGTGTTCTTATGCAAATTAATAAAATGCAGCATTCAAAACTTGAAACCGAGTTAAATGGAAAACCTGGTTCCCCAGCCACCTTCTACTTCCATACACACACTACGACTGCCGGTTCGATACTGGCTTCGCGAGCCGGTACTCCCTCCATCAAGCCTACATTCCGTCTCACTCTCTATCACTCTCTATCTCTCTCCTTCCCTCAGTCTGACCCCGACAACTAGGCAACCAAGCACATACTACGCAATACCACGTGACGTAATGAAAGTGTTTGCGCAGCTTCAAGCATTACAGTGTCATGAGGTGTGTCTCAGGAAAAGTGAAATTGTGTTAATATCACGTTGCAGATCAGTTAGTTGTGAACGGAGACTGTATCAGGGCTAATGCAGTTAAAATGTTCAGATGACACTGAACGTCTCTGCTACGTACGGGTCCATTGCTTATGAGAATAAGTTATATATAGTGATACCGCGTGAAGTAATGAGTCTAGACATACCTTTCTTTGGTTTCCCCCGAGTGTCCTGAGTTGGAGTCCAGAGACCAGGAAAGCATAAGGTTTTTTATAAATGTCGCAATTTGTAAAATATGCCATCTTTTATTCATAAAATTTTGGCCTGGCCGGGGTAGCTCTGACAGTAAATGACTGAACGACTGGGATTCGATTCTGGGGAGAGGCAAGGATTTATCTACCTGCCATCACGTCAATGCTGGTCTCGGGTCCTACCTAAAATCCTCACCCACTGGGGTGGGAAGCCACAGCACGAAGCTGAATTCTCACCTGCGTCCAATGCTGACTTTAAGAGTGCATGGAGCTGTATCTAACTTCCCAGTATGTTTTCATGACGTGGTGCTTGAACAGACACCGAATAAATTTGTCTGCGCTTTATTAGCACGCACATTACACGTAATGCCTTATGTGGAACTCGCAAAAGAGATGATTTAATACACACTTAAATTCAGTAGTCTCTGATACAACAGCTTTTTCCAATTACAAATTTCGCAACAATGGTCTATCTGTAACAAAAGTATGCGATTTTATGTCTTACAGACCCTTTTACAATGAGAAAACAATTTCTTTGACCAACTTACGTTGCGCCAGACAGAGGTCTAATAACCTGTGAGATAAAATAAAGTAAAGGTATCCCTGTAACAGGCCGTGGAGGCCCATAGGGGTGTGAAATGTTGAGGCTCCCATATTTTCTACACAATCGGCTCACAGGTGGCGGTGAGGTTATCAGCATTATGCGCCGTCCGCCCTTTACCCCCAGGAATATTCCTGGTACTCGTTTCTGTTAGAGGCTAAGTCGACCCCAGGGTCATTGTGCGGCTGGAAGGATTAGGTCGATTGAAAGAAATCCATCTCATCGGGATTCTATCCCGCGACCTTCCGGGTTGTAGCATAGTGTCTCAACCAACTACGCTACCGCGTGCCCACAATAACCTGTGAGATACTTCCATATACCACAGTAAACCATCACTGCCGCTTCTGTTTCCAGTATTTCCACCTGCTGAGACCCTCAAGTATAGAAACTTCCAACTCTGAGATCAGTGTTACATAGTAACGTTTAGAAATATGAGAAATGTCAAATTCACAAGCATTTTAATGCAATGATCAAAAAATGTAAATTACATTTATAACAAAATTTGAGAGTATATTAAATCCAGGAAACATCCTTCGCCGTTCTGTTCAAAATTCTAGTCTTTACAATTCCTTCTTGAAAACCTAATGATTACAATAAGCTAACAGAAACTGTAACTTTTTTTAGATTTAAGAATGCATCTTGCTTGTACGTAAGCTACCAAATTTGACGATCTCCTACACCATATTCGACGATTTTAACTGAGGTTTTATGTCTTTTCTTTAGTCCCTTTCAATTAAATATTCGTCCCTTGCACATTTTACTTGATCCCTGATTCATAACCACAATGCAATTTCTCATCTGAAGCTTTACAGTAGTAGCTGTGAATATTTGGGGTCTTGAGCCCCACCCGTAAATTTTTCAAAAACCGTTGCCCCTCCGGAGCAGAAACAAAGCTTCTCTTAAAACCTCAAATCGTACAAAGCTTCTCTTTTGCCTCTGCAATTACGTACATTTTATTCTTATAATAAATACCAATGGAAGGTGGTTTTTTTTTTTCGGGACCTCACTTTATAAAAAGCAGAGCATCACGTCCCACAGGTGAGATCTGTCCCATCGATTAAGAAACACTAATATAAGGTGCTGTACCCGCCCCCATAATTTTCAAGTAAGTTCTGAAATCACAAACAAAATCAAGGTATTTTTATACATATGAGTGACTTCAACACAGTTCGTATGTGACGGATGGCAACACTGGTGGTGATAACGGAAGCTAACCACATCGATGCGCACACAGATTCACCTTCTGTGATCATACGGAACGAAGAGATAATGATACTTGAGTGCCAGAATAGCGTTAAGTCCAAAAGCACATTTACTGAATAAAATCCTTCTAAACGAACTACAAATTTATAACAAATCTGGAATTTTCAAATATATGTATCACTTTCCTGATTCTCAGGCACAATTTACCGTATCATCAGCCAGCAGGCAGTATGTTCGTGAAAACATCACTTTGGTTTTCGATACATCGGACATTCCGACCGCCGGCAGGGCTGAAAATGGTAATGTAACTTTGGATCCGAGATAAAGGCCGATAACCCGTCCCAGGATTCCTACCAAATGTGGGCTATACTCCCAGAAATTAATTCTGAATTGGAACAGGCTAAATGATCTAATCCGTTTTGCTGAAGAAGAAGAAAACCATCAATTAGACTCGACCCATATAAACACCGGCTGCCGCTTCGCATACTTGCATTCAAGTCACTAGCAACAGTCGCTTGGTTCAAGTAGTAGCGTCTTTCGCGTGTCCAGTGACGCGTCACTTAGTGGACTCCGTATTGTTCTTACAAACCTTAAAACGTATTTTCAGTGTAAGCTGTTATAGCTCTTAGTTACAATTTTCAGATCAGTGACAAGGCAGCAACTACTGAAAGACATTTCCTGGTGTCCCTAACAATCAAGACCAAGAGAGATGTAACCCAATGTCGTTATAAAGCAGGGATGGCCATATGGGCAGGGCATGTAACAAGAGTCGAGAAGGGGACTGCATATAGGATTTTGGTGGGAAATACAAATGGAAAGAAACACTAGGAAGACTCAGACTAAGTGCGAGGATAATATAAAATGAATATGAGACAAACATGTCAGGGTGGTTATAGATCTGAAGGAGTAGGTATGATCTGTCACATTATAAAACAAAATATTTGCTCTTGCAGATTACTTGAAATGTTAGGCAATATACTATGTAGGCTACCAAGGTATGGCGGTTCCTTCGGATGTGGTTACAGAAGACCTCCAAATAGCTGCACTGAAACAGCAGTGAACACCCAACGAAGGGTGACCTCGCACCTTGAGAGTTGGAAGAAGGGAACTCCTCCATTGTGAGAATAAACTAGCATATTATGAAATTCAGGATTACTGGCTTTTTGGACTTCGTCCTTCGACCAGAATTCTAAAGATCGTTTCGGAAAATGGACCTGCTTTCGTCCTTGGATGGGTGGCGGGAGACACCTACTCTGTTGGGTCCGTTAGAAAGAGCTAACCTCAATCACTGGATAACCTATGTTAACGTAACTGCAGCTGTGTATACACCTGAGATCAGGGTCTGTCAATGGGAGATAACAGAAAAATGTACAGTAAGAATTGTTGCAGTACATGCACAGACCACTTCTTTTTCTATCTTAGTTAGTTTTTGGTCTGTACATGCATTATCACAATTTTTATTGTACGTCTTTCTGTTATCTCCCTGTGAAAAATCCTGACCTCAGCTGTATGTGTGTGTACACGTGTATATATATATATTATACACTGTATAAAGATAGCTGCTGTTATATTGACATAGACTGTCGAGACCTCTCCTCTCGTCGAAGAAGAAGCCCCATTTAAAAACACGCGAAAGTCTGAAAAGAACAAAAATATGGTCTTTGGTCCCCACGGGGCCCGAAACCAAGAACGACTATGCTGGCGAGGATCAGCAACAATTTCCTTAATTGAATCGAACATAGGTTTCCCAGTGATTGAGGTTACCTCTTTGTAACGGACACAGTTGTTGTTATATCATAGTTTTCATTATTGATTTATTTTTATTTTTCTCGCATCTTCGCAGCTTCTATTGATATGCTTGCCGCATGTTCTGTGTACGTGCTTTTCCCTAAAACTGCAGGGAGTAGCATGGGTTTTCCTGTATTTTATAACACTGTTTCGGTATTTGCTCCTGTTTGTTAGTAGTTAGAGCTTCTTCAACTTTATGACTTTCTTCCTGTAATGATGCACCCACCGATTGTTGGACTTCATTTAAAATTATAAATATTTCAAAAATAAGTCGGTATAGTGTCACTTCTTCCGTTTGAAGAGTAGAGATCCCGCGTTTTACAATTGTTTCAGTTCTATCACAGCTGTGCTCTGAAGTAGTTCGCAAATTTTGGTTGCTAGTTAGAGAATTACAGATGGGTCGTTTGAGATGTCCCCGACTGTATGGCCACTTGCTGACGGCAATAAAGTGGCGATAGACTCAATTAAAGAACATTCAGCAATGCTTCAGCAGAAATTCAATAAGTATTTTGGAGAGAGTGTACAAGATTTCGACTGGGTTCGTGATCCATTTGTTGTGAAATCAGAACATCTTCCGATTAATATACAAGAGGAACTCGCAGATTTAAAAGCAGACAGAACATTGAAACTAAAACTTCTCGAAGTGCCTTTGGATACGTTTTGGTTGGCAATAAGGAGTGGATACCCGGCTATCTCCGAGATGGCAGTTAATGTGTTATTGCCATTTTCAACTACATATTTGTGTGAACTGGGCTTCTCGACATTAACTGAAATTAAGACATCAAAGAGGGAGCGGCTCAAATCCATCGATGAAGAAATGAGACTTGCGTTGTCAACGATTCCACCACGGATCAGTCGCCTGTGTGCAGCTACGCAGGCGCAAGTATCACATTGAAGGTATGAGTAGAATTACTGTATTTACTTTAATAGTAATAGAAGTGTATTTTCTA